ACATAAGTGGGTCACTTGAAAAAAGTTGACAAAAAAAACATTTAAGGAAAGCTGCATATTCCATTTTGCCAATGTCAAAGCCAATGAGCATCACTAGCTCGGCAAGCTTGGTTAATGAGGTTGCAGGCAGAGCAAGCATTTTAAGGGAACCTTTTCTAGGACCATTTGGTAGCCCCTTCCCCAGTCTCAAGCCATTCTTCTACAAATTTCAAACAGGTGAAGACTTTATTGCATGTGACTTATTTTTTAAGGCTGTTGATGCCAACCCATAATCTTCATTCTACTTAAGCAAAAGAAGAGATGAAGTGAGCAGAGTATGTGCTTGCTTGGCAAACTATCTCAGGAACATGATGATGGCTGGAAGGCAAGCAGCACCGCTCCCTTCCTTCCGGCATTGCTTCCCACAGGCTTCCCCAGGGCACTCCCTCACTGCAAACCCAGGCTATGGGCGCTCTCTATGCCCCCTGACTAAAGGCCAAGTTTGTTGGGAAGGGTTCAGGACAACTCCTGTTCACCCAAAGCAAACATCTTTGGCATATTATATATGCTTGTACTACATCAACACGTCTCCCTCCCATACAAGAGATGCTGTGCCTGAGAGAGATGGTGAAGCAGGTACACCATGACCAGGTACTTGCAGATCAGTCCCCTAGTATTGAGAAGATACTCATTGCTCGTTCTGAGTAATCCACAACAGCAGAAAATTATACTTCATTCCCCAACCATGCAAAGACATAAAAAGACTTTCTAATGCAAATAACAGAGTTGCAAATCTGCACACCCTTCTTCTGCTTAACTTTGCCCTTCGCACTGATATTTATGTTGTTGGGCATGATGTATCTTCCTTCATGCATCTGATTAAGGATTTCCTTAGAGACTTATGATATGTTAGCTAAATGGTCGCATATTTTAGGATAATCTAACATTAATACTTCTGAGATCTCAAGTACATTTGACCTTCTCCAGTTCTGCTGAAAAGAAATCAGGTAACTGTAGGAAAATGAATCTATTAATTTCCCGGGAACAAAAAATTGATGATAGCAAAGAAGAAAAAAGCAAGGACATTCTGTTACATCATTTATTCACTTTCACAATACCATTCAGTATCATCTTTCCAAGTACTACTGTTCACAGAATTAACTCTTTGGATCCTGATACTCATTTTGAGGAATATCTTGCCAAGAAATGGATTAGATTTTTTTTTTTATTAAAGTACCATTAAATATGAAAAGAGGTATCAGAAATTCATCTACACTTTTACTTTATTAAAAAACTGTGAATTATGGAATGAAAAAGTTGCATATTTTATATGCTTAGACCTAGGGAAGCAGTGAGTAGAAAAGATCTCCTTCTGCTATACCTATCATGAATACATCTGGATAATATAAAAGAAGAATTGAAGGCTTGAAGAATTCCTGTACAATCACATTTCCCTAAAGGTATACATAGTTCAACTCCTCATCCCAAAATGACTAACCCCCTAATCTGAATAGAGATTTTGTTGTTTAATACAGCTCCACAAACCACATGCTATTACCTTAGAAAAACAAACCGTGTTCTCAAATAACGGCAAGGTGATAAAGGTACATGACAATGCACAAAACATTTAAAGGGCTGACAACAGCCTGCCAGCATAAACAGCGTGAGATTAGGCTGTAGACGCAGCCACAGCGAGCACTGCAAAGACGCTGGGCTCAGTAAACTCCCGTCTCGGGTTTGTTTGATGCCCCTTAGTCGAGGGAATTCGAGATCTGAAAATACTTCAAAATCAAAAGCTGGCACATAAAATGCATTGTTGCCTTCACTTCATAGCACTCCCACCCCCCAGAAAAACCCCAACAAATCAAGAGAAAACTCAAAAATCCCAAACAAATGGACAGGAAAGGGGAAAGGAGAAAGGGGGGAAAAAAGAAGGGAAGGGAAGGGGAAGGGGGAAGGGAGAAAGGGAGAAAGAGCAGTATCGGAGTCGGTGGGAGACCCAGTGCATTCCCCTTTTCGGCCCAAGCACATCTGTTAAATTACTGCTCTGGGAATAGGGATGTACACAAACAATTTATGGCCTGCTCTGCATCCATGAATAAGATGTATTATATTACTTATAAAAATTACAGTAAACATCTTGACTACCAGAACGTGTATCTGACAGGGCTGTGTCAGGTCATGAGCTTTTGAACACAAACTGTTAAAATCCTATCTAGCTCCAGTATCTCTGTAAAATGATGTCCTAGCTAAGCCCTGGCCTAGTTTTCTACCCCTCCTAGTGTTTCTGAGACCGACATCACAGAGTTCATTGTTTTCTTCTTGAATGATAGAAAAGTGAGTTTTAGTTTCAAGACAGCTGCATTTTGAGGGTTGGGCTTTTTTTTTTTTTGTCCAACTTATTAAAATGTATGGATACCTCTGCTGCACCTCGATGCTAGCAATATAGCGATAAATTAGCCGTTTTGTTTATGCCAGAATGAGCAGGGAAAGTAATATCCTAAGGCACTCCAGTATTACTGCAAGGCTAGTGCGATTTTCGAGGCATTAGGCTGAAGGCTGTCGTGCTTTAACCCCAGCCAGTACCTAAGCACCAACCACCGCTTGCTCACCTCTCCTTACCCCAAGGGGATGGGGAGGAGAGTGGAAAAACACTCCTGGGTTGAGATAAAGACAGTTTAATAGGATAACTAAGGAAGAAGAGGAGGAGGAGGAGGAGGAAGAGGATGATGATGATGATGATAATAATAATAAACAACTCTCTCAAACAGATGATTTACAAATGCAATTGCTCACTATCTGTGGAAAAAAACCCTGATGCCCAGTCTCTTTCCAAGCAGCGAATCTGCCTTCTGGCTAGCCTCCCCTCTAACTTACACAGGGAGCATGACACTGTATGTCAGGGAATATCCCTTTGGCCAGCCTGGGTCAGCTGTCCTGGCTGTGCTCTCCCAGCTTCTTGTGCACCTGGCAGGGCGTGGGAAGCTGAAAAGTCCTTGACTTAGTGTAGGCACTACAACTACCTAGCAACAACTAAAAACATCAGTGTGTTATCAACATTATTCTCATACTAAATCCAAGACACAGCACTATACCAGCTACTAGAAAGAAAATTAACTTTATCCTAGCCAAAACTAGGACAAGGCTGAGCAAGTCCTTTCAACAAAACTATACTGTAATCTTCCAGGAAATTCAACACCTATTATGTCTTATTGCTATAATGAAATAAGTAAACAAAACTAATGAAAATGAGACATTCTTAATAATTCTCTGGGTAAATCCATGACATAGATATGACAGAACTGACAGGGTATCAGAAAGCTCCATTTGTGCCCATAATTTTCAGGTAATAATTGTAGCAGTGCCATTTGTTCCACTACAGCTGGTCTGCTGCGGATGTTTTTAAAAGCAGCACTAAATATTGAACTTATTTCATCATTAAAGCAAACTATTTAAGCATGGTCATTTTTATGCTACACATTTTCACTGGAGTTACAGACAGATATCTCTCAACATCTAATCTTGCAGCTTTTACCCTGGTAAATCTCACTGGATTTCAGTGGGAAGTTTGTCAAAGTTAAATGCTGTGTAAATGGGATCAGTTTTTTATATACCCCCTGACTAAACAGAGAAAGCCCCTATATTAAGCGATCTTTTTGTCAAACCTTAAAAACAAAAAAATGGCATTCGATATCTCCTAAACATCTTATTCAGTAATTTCTACATTTAATATTTAATGCAGTTAATTTGCGCCTAGTTTCTGTGACATACAACCTGTTTTATACACAGCATGTACCATTGTGGCTATAACTGGGACGTGAGCATTAATTTATATTAAATGCATTTCCATCTCCATTTTAAAAGTACTTGCTCAGAGCATTTGTAAAATTACCAATATTTTAAATTAAGAAATTAAGAAATATTTAGAGTGGCAGACATTACATGAAATAGTTACCAGTCCTCCGATTTTTAAGGAGGTGGCAGAAATAAGTCACACCAGTACCTAACTTCCTTGAAACTGCAGAAAAGGCAATGCACAGAATTAGTCCCTCTCCTACTAACAGGTGATCCTTGCTCAAGACTTCAAAAGTCCCCATGGGGCTAAATGAGATCCGCAGGCCATAGTATTACAATGACAAAACCTAAACTAATGTAAATTGTTGTTATACTGCTGAGGTCTCAGCTTATGCTAACTCCTGATTCACATCATTAACTTTACACATCATAAGTAATTTGAATCACTAAACACAGCGGTAACCTCCAGACTCGCTTTCCGCCATAAATCCCTGATCAGACTAAAACTCACGTAAAGTGTATATTGTTGGACACAGGCCTGTGTCATATGCATTCTTTTTACAAGCCCAGGACCATGAAAAAAGAGGAAATTCAAGATCATGCTAGTCTAGGTTTTGCCTAGGAATCCTCCTAGCTACTGTATGGACACAGTAGGTAAGTATTGCGGCTAAGCATGCTCGACTAGAGCCCACCAGTTCCCCCACTTGTGGGGAAATTACACTGTCAAAGTTGGCACCAAAGTGGCCAAAAGGCATTTCCTGTGAGAATCCCTGGACCACTTGGAACAATGGCCAGTCATGTCACGTAGGATGCCTCAGCTCAGAATGGCCGGGCCACCCTACTCCTGCTCCTGGCGTAAGAGCACCCAAGGGAAAGGCCAACAGCATGGCACATCACCAGAGCTGCGAAAAGGACACACGTCACGGCTTAACTGCCCACAACTTTCGATGTGAATACAGGACACGACATTGTGCACAAAAGGAGAAGCCCTGTACAGGCATAGAAGTACAATCTGATGTGGCTTACGCAAACAAAGGAGAAAAGAGACAGAGGCCTCATGGAAGTCAGGAATAATGTCTAAAATATGCTGGCATGAAAACATTTTCAGAGAAAAAAAATACAAACCCCTTCCAATTCTTCTTAGTTTCCTTATAATGTACATGACAACATACAAAACCCCAAACAATTATATTTATAAGAATGAACAATTGATATTTTGAACTTACATATGACGTAATAATCTTTGTTCTTCTGAAATTCCAGGCCCCACAGATTAGGACTGAACTCTTGAAATTTGATGGTAAACTTAACATCTTGATCTGGCTTGGCACAGTTGAGTAGAGGTGTATTGTCCTTTTTAATAGCACAGCTATCTGCTTGGTCTTTATCAACCATGTAGACCTTATAATATTCATATTGGCCAACAGTTTTAGAGTCCACCTTTGGGCATATAATATCCAGTTTGTCTCCTATCTGTGGATATAGTACCAATCCTTGTCCAGGAAGGAATCTAAAAAAGAAAGAAAGAAAGAAAGAAAGAAAGAAAGAAAGAAAGAGAAAGAGAGGGGAAAAAAAGTGAAAATGTGAGACACTTGATAAAATCTCATCCAGAAAAGTATCAATTGCAATGGACAGAAAGGAACAAACACACAGTTTCCAAAACCAAAATAACAGATTGAGCAAACCAGATCTCAATAGTTTGGGTCTGACTCAATTTAATATCAACAAGATGTTTATTTAGATCTTGGAAATTACAGATGGATTGAGTTTTATAGTCTTCAATCCCAGTTTTGGGAACTCTAGAAAGTTTTACTTCTCTGGCAGGCACTGCAGTTTGTTCCACATTTGGCCATTTACAGCAGCTAGTACAATGTCTGATGGGCTACAATCCTGTTTTTCTCCTTTGGTAACATTTCTACTATTCTTGCACATATTTTGCTAATTTTGGACATGGGAGAATGACAAGAATAAATCTTTCAAACCCCCTGAGCAGCCATGTGGGAAAGGAAACAACTTGGACTCTAAGAGTTAACAACATACTAAGATTGATGTTACTAGTATAACACAAAGGAACATCACTCACTCACCAGGACCACGTTTACAGACCTGGGGTGGACAGAGATCTACATGACCCAAGGACCACACATGCTTCCGATAACACACTTTTCCAAAACAGTGTAACACTAAAATGATTTCTTCTCTTCACAATGCCACCATTACCATCATTATTTTAGCTGTTTTTTTATTTCTTGTGCTACAAGTGAAACATGGGTGTGCTTTTGGCTTAGTATAGATGAAGACTTCTTACAGAAACTGGCAGTGAGCTTTAATGTTTGGGGTTAGACTCGATATTGTATCTATCTTACTCGTATTAATTAATTACTAGGCAAACTTCACCACTTCTTCACGAAAGAAAAATATAAATAATTATTTATAGAATTGATTAATCTACAAAATGAGGATCCTTGTTCTCACAAAGACAAAAGCCACAGCAGGTTCGTTCGTTTCTTTCTCCTTAAGATATATTTGTTCCAATTAAGGCCAAGAAGTCCGTGTTTTAGAACTACAGCCAACAACACAACATCCTTGAATGCACAGACCTAAAAGCCTGACTTTCTTTCCTCTTTCTCCTGCCTGCCAGCCTTTTCCAAAGATCTTCCTTAATGGAGAATCAGCCTGAAAAACCAACTGAAACAATCGCTGCCTAATGAACACCCTTCTCCAAGTGCTAGCATTTAAGCAGCACACGTAGTAAATCTAGCTTATTCACAGGCAGCCTTTCTGGAAACTCTAAATTGAAGTATTAAGGGCCAAGCAGAACAAAGCCGTAGGCGTCGGTGACCTCCAGCCTCTGGCTTGGCTAAAGCAGCCCACCAGCACGTAGTAGTACTGGGGTAAAACTTGCTAAATTAGAGAAAAGGATGATGCAACGCCCCAAATTTTGAATCCATCATTTACAACCGCTCGCTCCCACACAATGCAAGTTTATGATCTGTGCTAATTGAGCGGGATTATTTTCACTCACAAAGCCTGTGTAAGAATTATATTTGTTGTGAAGCAGCACGTAGCAGGACAAAGACATGTAATTACAGATTTGGGGAAAAAGAACAATGGAATGTTATGGCAAGAAAAGCGACTGTTGATGTATAAATCAGTGCGCTCTTTTGTGTCATGCAGTGTAATTTCCAGACTACAGAAACTAGGCTTGGCCACGGCTGTTCAAACTGAGATGCGCTGGAGATGGGCATCCAGCTCTCGGGCACGCCAAAGGAATGCAGTGACTACCACCTCCCGAAAGCCAAAGCAGTGGAACAAAGGGAAAGGTGGAAATGCATCCTCCTCGGAGTCACCGGCCTGGTGAGCGCCGACTGAGGGAGAGGCCAGCTCTGCAAGGGCGCCGAGGAAATGGCAGGAGGAAGACCCCAGCCAGCAAGCGTTCCCAAGGGAGCCGCACGGGCTCTCCTCAGGGACCGACTCTGACCAGGCAAAGGCTAAGGGACAGGGTTTCTGAGCTGACCTCTGTCACCTCTGACTGTCCTTACCACCTTGTCTGACCACAGCCCCATTTTACATTGCTCCTGTGCAGCAGCGTTGTACCAGAAAGATGGAAATTACTCGTATTCCCCCATCTGCACGCCAGAACAAAGGCTGGTGACTGTATGATCCCACCGCTGCCAATATTTCTTCTTGCCAGTAATTCTTCTTCATGTTTTGGGAATATGTAATATGAAACACATGAGATTTCAGAGGACCGGATCTTTGTTTTTAAATTAATCAATATAGATTCCCATGAATAATAAATATGAAATTCATGAGGCTAGAAACACGCACCTGTTTGTTATTATCAATAATATGACCTAAAAGCTGCCCTGAAAACTAAAAAAAACTGGTTCTAATTTTAGATTTTGTGTATATATGTGTGTGATGAAGCAGCAGCGGTGTACGTTCTCCATGCAAACTTTGAGCGCAAACAGGATGGGTTCAGAGACGGCGTGCCAGGCAATCCTCAGAAACAGCTACCGGAGAGAAAGCACGCTTGTGTGCCTTGGTTAAGTTGCCAGGAATTGCCCCATAAATGGCAGAGGACAGAACCACCCCCAACAGACAGCTAAAACACATTTTACAAGAGCTTTAAACCGACGTGCTCGTTAGACTTTATGGCAGGGGAATATTCTCGCTATGGCTCTGAAGTCTGTACAGTTTGAGAACTAAACTCGATAAATCTCCTTCCACTTGAGTTTCTGAACTTGGAGGATCTAACGCTGACGGGATTAGGAAAGAAAAAAAGCTGAAAAGGAAAGGATTAATCTGAGAACTTGATTGTATTGAAACTTTTTCCACAGTTTGCAGTTTGGATCATGACCTTTGCGAGAAAGCTATTTTTCCAATTTACTTTCCTTATATTCTTAAAATAAAGCACAAATATGGATGGAGAGAATAAAAAAATTCACCTCGTGCATTTCAGTTCGACCACAGTGCCGATTAGTAGTAGGCATAATTATTATTCCTGCATTCATGTAACACTTTTGCTACTGTATTTTCATGAAGACTTTAAATAAATCATTTGCTTAGTACTAAGCATTGTCTGAAGCTATTTATGAAATGTCAGGAGGATTAAGGCTACTGTTTTATGATCCTATTTTTGAAAACCTTGTATCTGAATAAAAAATAAAAAAAAGGACAGTGCACATTCAGCCTTGGTAGAGGTTAACAAAAACTTCGGGATTAATCCTGAAACTTTATTTCTGCAAGTGCTGATGTAGCCTTAAGCATTCTGGGATAGCACTTATGAAATGTTTGCCGGATGGCATCTGTAAAAATAAAGTTAATGAACTGGCATTAAAAGTCTGATCAGAATGTGCCTTCACCTAATTAAAAAACTTCTTTCCCTGCCCGCCCCCCAAACAGAAATATAATAAAGATGGAGCAAGACGCTTTCAGAATCCTGTGACCGATGCTGAGCCGGCTGCGCTACTCCCATGGCTGCTCGGGACAGCGAGGCGCTCTGTGAGCGCAGTCAGATATAGTGAGATTAGAGCATTCGAAGAATCTTCCTCGCAGTTAATAAACCTAGTGCTTACTGTGAGAAAGCACAGGAAAGTATATTAAGTACAGTAAAAGCCGTACGATGAAATTCATGCACTGTCTGGCACTTTTGGATACAGAGGGCATTTTTACTGTCAGCCCAAAATTGACATATTGTGGGTGACATTTGACATCTGCGCAAAGCCCGTGGATGTGAAACCCTCCCACGCGTCCAACTAGTCATGCAGCTTATCAAATAACAGCAATATGCAGAGTTCCGAAACCCTTTTAAAAATAAGTATTGTGTTAGACTGAAAAGTCAGATAACACACGAACAGAAAATAGGAAGAGTAGTCCATCTGTTCCCCACTCCCACCTATGGTACAATAATTTTCCGTACCACACTTATTTTAAGGTCCAGCAGTTCCCGGCACTAATGGTAAGTTAAATTTTATTTTGAAACTAACTAAATAAATAAAAAAATTACGCGCAGTTTCCAACTAATTTCTTAAGAATCTACTTCTTTTTTAGAGAAACTTAACACTTAAACCGTATCAAATTATAAAGGAATTTTCCTTAATGATATCCACTCAAACCTGCCTAATTTCATCATAGTAAATTCTCAAAAAAAAAAATATAATTTTACCTGTCAGCACTCTTTTTCACTGAGAATGTTCTACTATTCCTTACTACACAGGCTTTTCTGAAACTGTAAAATTATCAACAGATAAAATTCTTAGGGAAATAAATTCTTAAGGAGATTTTGTTAATCAATATTGATAGATGTAACAAATGTGTTGTCATGCTTTTCCCAACTTGCAAAACTATATATATACACACATATTATAAATACATACATGCACATTTAGCTTTAACTATATCCTAGCAATTATAAAATAAATGTAATTTTAGAAAGCCTGTTAGTACTTGTTGTGAGTCTTGTATATTTAACTGGGGAAACAGTGCCAAATTTCTGTGCTTTAATACCTCACCTGAACTAATTGGTGTAGGCAGTTAGCTTTGAAAGAAAGTAACAAAAATAACCCTAAAAATAACCCTAAAAAATGACAATCAAGACGCTTCTTAAAATGCAGCCTGAAACCTTCTGTTGGCGAATCCTACCCACTTAACTTCATGAAGTTTAACTACCAGCCTGACTATAAAGTTATTCATTGAAAAGTTTTATTAAGGAAATGTCATGAATACTAATAACACAGTATGTTAGTCCGTTACTTGTACAAGTGCAAACTGAAACAGAATACAGAACAGCATTCCACGTACAAGTCCTTACTGTTTAAAAAGAATGGTTATTAAATAGTATATGTATTCATCATCTGGCTTTTGAGAAAATAACAACATTCATATTTTGAATATCACTTTGCCACAGGAGAAATATTTAAGCAAGGCAAAGGGCCAATCAGCTTGACGCAAAGCAAATAAAAGTTCCAGGAAAAGGTCCTAGTCATTTCGGTGAAGTAGCAGTGG